AGACATCACCTGGGATGCCTACCTATCAAAGTCTCCAGTTGAGCTCTGGCTCCCATATTCAATCTATCTTACTAATAACATGTATCCTGGGAGACAGCAGATGGTAGTTCAAATATTTGTGCCATTATCACCTCTGGATGGAGCTCTTGGCCTTGGTTTTGGCCTAGCACAGTCCTGGCTTTGCTGGCATTTATGGAATAAACCAGTAGATGGAAGATTTCTCTGTGTTTCTTTCTCTCACTTTGTTTTTAAAATAATAAGAAAATAAATTTATTATTCTTTCTTTTAAAAGATACATTCAAAGAGGATAACTTTGAGTGGCTTTGTTCCTTTCCCACACTGAAACAAGAGATGTTTGTTCATTCATAGATGTACGTTAGGGTCATTTGGGCTCATTTATGGGAATTATCAGATTCAGGTACTTGTGAAGTACTGTTGCCAATAATTAAATATAATTTATCTCTTTCCATAGATGACTACAATCTTGGTGAAACTTTTTTATTTTTGACATTCTGATTAAGTTTTCTATTTTTTTTTATTCTTCAAGCTCAGCTGGATTTCTTTTTTTTTTCTTAAAGATTATTTATTTATTTGAAAGTCAGTTACGCAGAGAGAGAGAGAGAGAGAGAAGTCTTCATCCACCAGTTCACTCTCCATTTGACCACTAAGGCTGGAGCTGCGCCAATCAATCCAGTGAGTTCAGGGCCCAAGGACTTGGGCCATCTTCTACTGCTATTCCAGGTCATAGCAGAAAGAGGGAGAGACAGACAGTTCGAGACAGAGAGATCCTCTATCCACTGATTCACTCCCCAAGTGGCTGTGATGGCCAGAACTATGCCAGAGCAAGCCAGGAGCAAGAGGCTCTATCCTGGTCTCCTGCATGGCTTCAGGGGCCCAAGGAGTTGGACCATTTTTCATTGCTTTTCCAGGCACATCAGCAAGAAGCTAGATTGGACATGGAGCAGCTGGGATTTGAACCAGCACCCATATGGGATGCTGGAATAATAGATGGCTGCTTAACCTGCTACACCACAATACAGGCCCTGATCATTACTAATTTTAATTTGCTTTTCTCTTCTACAAGGGAATGTAGACTGCCTGCAGAGTGACTGAAGTTCTCCCTATTCCTACACTGTCAGCCTCTGTATCCATGAGATCAGCAACTGAGTATTCACCAATCATGAGGGGAAAATGATTGAGGAAAAAAAATTCATATATGAAGAGAATATTTTTGTTGTTATTCACTCAACAAGACATGATAACTATTTGCATAATATTTACATTGAACTGGGTATTGTAGGCAATTTAGAAATGATTTAAAGTACATGAAAGGATGTGTGTATGTACACAACCCATATGAAAACACATTTTAATTTTATTTTGTACTTAACTTTATTTAATTTTTTATTAACATGAACTAATTATAAATATTTATGGGGTATAGTGTGATATTTCAGCGCATGCATAGAGTGTGTGCTGATCGAATCAGGTCATTAGCATTTTCATTTTATTATTTCTTTGTGTGTGGAGACTTGAAGCTCTTCATAAAATATGTAATAGATAATGCTGAACTATAATTGCTCCACTGTTCAGCAAAATTCTAAAACTTGCTGTTAGTATCTAACAGTGATTTGGTACCCAGCATCTAATCTCCCTACATCCTCACCCAGTCTCCCTGCTTCCCAGACTTTAATAATCACTAATCTTCATTCAGATTGATGTTTTTAGCTTTCACTATGAGAAAGAACATACAGTCTTGTCTTTCTGTGTCTGGCTTATTTCACTTGCCATAATGTCTCTCAGTCCCATTCATTGTGCTGTAAATAGGATGATGTCATTCATTTTATCACGAAATAATATTCAATTGTATATATACCATATTTCTTTATCTGCTCATTCATTCATAGTCACATAGGTTAAACTCATCATGGCTGTTGTGAATACATGGAATACAGCATACATGGAAGTGTAACCATATTTCTGATATGCTGATCTCATTTCCTTTCAATATGCAGTCTGATGTGGGATAGATGGATCATATGGTAGACACATTTTTGCGTTTTTGAGGAGCCTCCCTACTGTTCTCCATAATGTCTATTCTCATTTATATTCCCATGAACAGTGTATATCAGTCCCCTTTTCTCCATATCTGGTTAGCAATTATTATTTTTGTCTTTTTGATAACACTCATTCTAACTGTGGTTACTTGATAACTTATTGTAGTTTTCATTTGCATTTTGCTGATGGCCAGTGATCATTAATATTTGTTTTATGTATTCATTGGCCATTTTGTTTCTTCTTTTAAGAACTATATTCAGATTACTTGCCCCTTTTAATTGAATTATTTTTTGTTGTTTTTGAATTCCTTATATATTCTGGATGCCAATGCTTTGTCTAATGGATAGTTCCCAAACAGTCTCTCCTATTATTTCAGTGGTCTCTTCACTTGGTTGATTTCTTTACTGTGCAGAAGCTTCTTAGATAGATATAATCCCATTTATCTAGCTGTTCTTTGGTTGCTTCTGTTTTCAGGTATTATCCAAAAATATCATTCACCTATCCCTTATGTCCCCTACGTTTTTGTTTTTTTAGTAGTTTCACAATTTTAGGTCTTTCACTTACTTCTTTATTTTTAAATTTTTTATTTGACAGGCAGAGTTAGACAGTGAGGGAGAGAGACAAAGAGAAAGGTCTTCCTTCTGTTAGTTCACTCTCCAAATGACTGCTACGGCAGGAGCTCTGCGCCGATCTGAAGCCAGGAGCTAGGTGCTTCCTCCTGGTCCCCCGTGCAGGGGCCCAAGCACCTGGGCCATCGTCCACTGTGTTCCTGGGCTACATCAGAGAGCTGGACTGGAAAAGGAGCAACCGGGACTAGAACCCAGTGCCCATATGGGATGCCGGCATCACAGGCGGAGGACTAACCAAGTGAGCCACGGAGCTGGCCCCTCACTTATGTCTTTTAAGTTTCTGAGCTGAGTTTTATGTAATGTGAAAGATAGGGAGCAAGTTTAAATCTTCTTTCTCTGCATGTATAATTCTCCTAGCACCATTTACTCAAGAGTCTGTCTGTTAGCCAATGCATGTTTTTGGTATCCTTGTCAGCAATCATTTGGCTATGGATGTCCGTATTTATTTCTAGGCTCTCCATTCTGTTCCGTTAATTTATGTGTCAGATTGTATGCCAGTACTATGTTGTTTTGATTACTGTGCCCCTGTAGTATACCTAGAGTAGGGTGTCAGGGACATAAGCACTTGGATTATTATCTGCTGCTTTCCTGAGTGCATAAACATGGAGTTGGATCCAAAGTAGAGAAATTATGACTTAGATCAGTGGCCCCATATGACATGACAGCATCCTTGGAGGTAGTTTAGCCCAGCGGTGGGCCTGACAATTTTTTGTTGTTGTCACAGTCAGATATGGAAATAAGATGGGACGAAATTATAGAAACTTCAATGATAAGCAATGGTTTTCAAGAAGTGACTCATGTTTGCTTCTATCTCTTATGTATGCACAAATGCATACATAGACTGTAGATATCAGATTTATAGCAAAATCTATTCATATCACTCTCCCATTGATGAGGTTCTTATCTCCATCTGCAGACTATGGCACACAACATCGTTTCCTTATGTTCTGAACCTACATTATCTCCTCCATTACCAATAATTCTTCCTCAGTGTTTTTCCTGCTGTACAATTCCCTCTTTTGATTTCTGAAAAGGTTTTCTAATTCTTGGCACCTTAACATTGTCCATAATGTCTTCATTGCTTGGAAATGGCACATCTTGTTACCTCTGTTACTATCTGTGAAGTTCCTTATAGGCACAGGCGTTTTTACAATTTATATATTATCTCACTCCTACTTATAAAAATCTTGTCACATTAACCATCACTGAATTCTCCAAAGTTCCTTGGTTTCTTTTTTTTTTAAAAGATTTATTATATTTATTTGAAAGAGTTACAGAGAGAGAGACAGAGAGAGAGGTCTTCCATCTGATGATTCACTCCCCAATTAGCCGCAACGGCCAGAGCTGTGCCAATCCGAAGCCAGGAGCCAGGAGCTTCTTCCAGGTGTCTCACATGGGTGTAGAGGCCCAAGGACTTGGGTCATCTTCTACTGCTATCCCAGGCCATAGCAGAGAACTCAATTGTAAGAGGAGCAGCCGGGACTAGAACCGTGCCCATAAGGGATGCCGGCCCTTCAGGCCAGGGCATTAACCTGCTGTGCCACAGCACCAATCCCAGTTCCCTGGTTTCAACCAAGTCACTTCTTGCATCCATATTTTTTTAACTTGACTAACGCCCAGTGGCTTTTAGTCATCTGATCATACAAACACTTATTTTATTTAGTCTCGATTAATTGTCTAATATTCAAGTTTTCCTGATATTTAATATAAGTCAGTTTCCTTCCACTTATATTTCCATAATGCATTGTAAGTAGCTTGTCTTACTGTTTTGACTGTCTAGGTTTGGACCTGTTTATTCAGATATTTCATTCTTCAATTTCCCAAGGCAAAGCACATCACTCTGCACAAAACAACTGCCTAAGGGTAAAGATGCTGAATTAATTAATTAAGTAAGTAAGTGGAAATCAGAAAAGGACTCTAAAAATAATTGAAATATAATATTCCTTTAAAATACACATAGGACAAGTGTACAGCTCAATGCATTTCAACAAATTGAGTGAAGTGCTTGAATCAGCATCCCAGAGAATTCCAATCATTGTATTTACAATCCTAAAATGGACTTCCAGCATCACAATTTGTTATGACTTTTAGTATTTTATACAACTAAATGTTCACATTTTATTTTATTTACCTTTGTATTTATGATATTCACTACATGATTATATAAAATTTTACTTTGTCTACATTGTGGTACTTATTACCATTGCTTTAATATAATACAATTCATTTAACTATAATGCATTTGACAATAAACATAAATAGTTTCCTGATTGTTGCTAGCAAAGCTGATTCCACCCAAATTTTTTGCAGAGCTCATGATTTTCTTTTATTGGGGAAGGGCACCTCACTTTCAGTGCCAACAGGTCTCTGGTCAGACACTGAATTGAGAAAGAGAACATACTAAAGGCTTATACATAAGGGGATTCTGTCCATTTTCCATGCTCATTGCAGAACAGATCTAGTTGTAAGGAGATATTATTATAATTTAAAGTCCCATTTTCCTACAAACTTCCTGGCCATCTAATTTATATAGTACTCAGGTAATGCGACAAAGAAAAATTAGCTGTTACTTCTTTAAAGTCAAGGGGTCAAACTGCAACCAGTTGTTGAAAGTACATCCTAAAGGTAAGCCACGTGGAAATGAAGGTCATTTCCCCATCTGTAAGAGAATAGAGAAGTGGTAAGAGGCATTCTTGTCAACCAAAGAGGAGAGCAGATATCCTTGTTTCTACCTCCCCATGTGCAAAGAATTTCACTTAGGCTCTTCCTTGGGCTTCTGGACTTTCACCAAGTAGCCCATGGATGAGGGCCATACATGAATTTTCTAGACATAACTGGTATTAAACATGTAATATGCAATTTTCCCTGGATGCCTATACTTTCACAGTGTAGGCTTAGGGTTATAAACCATGAGTTTATTGACTTAACTAGTATTATTCTGTAACCCATAATTTATCTACTATGTAACTCATCTATTATTTGTATCCACCACATAACCCTTCTCCAACACTCACTAACTTTCTTTTGGAACATTCCTTCTCACTTTGTGATTCAAAATTTGACGCTGGAAATGCCTGGCTATTTAATCTATGGCTTACATGACCTTCTGTTGATCCTTCTTTGAAGATACGGCCTACTTGCCAAAACTGTCAACTTGGGCACGACGAAAGCACTTGTTAATCCATTTCTCCTTTCTCTTTAGTCAGCTGCAGCCAGAAAAGCCTGCACATGTGCCTCTCACATTCCTGCAGGTCTTCTATCTGTTCCTGATGTAGGTGCTCTGCCCAGGGGTAGAAATTTCCAGTGAGTACATTTGGCTGACCCCTACATAGTAACATTCTACCTCCAGGGCTTTAAACCCTTAGTGCCAGGACTGGAATGGAGGAGGGTTGTGACCAAAGGTGGGAGTACAGTGGAGGAATACAGTCCAGCCAACTATCTTTCTCAGTGTTAACCAGGCTCTAGTCAGATATAGGAATGAGGGAAAAATCATATATTTCCATTACCCTCACCATCATGCAACCAATATAGCAGGCCAAAACATAAGCAATAACACATAAAATGCAAAGAGGAACTAAAAAGGCAACCATTCATGTTTTTATGTAAGGGAGCCCTAAAAAGGAGATGAGGGACTATACCCAGGTAGGACTTGAGCCTGCCTGTTCACTTAGGATATCTATGAACCTGATACTGTCTTTTAAAATCTGTAGTTTTTCTTCAACATGGATGTATTAGTAATTTAATAATGTGTATGTTCTGACAGTTTTGGGAGTTGAAGATGGCTAATGTCCAATTAGTTTGCAAGGCCACAGAACACAGGGCCACAGAACACAATGAGTTAATAGAGGTTTTTTGAGCATGTATAGTGCTCATCATAGCCTACCATCCCTGTTGAACTGTAAGAGTGAAATATAAGATAGATCTTTCCAAAGTAGGGATGGTGACAAACCAAAGGAGGCCTTTGTAAAGAGAGTATAGTATACCACTCCAGGTCTTTCTCCCAGGGAGTTGTTATGATCGTGTCCCTGGAAATAAAGGGAATGTTTATAAGCCTTCATTGTGTTGTATACAGTCAATAGGGTAAATGCCAAGTAAAAGCTAGCCATGGCATCCTACTGTTAATGGAGATAAGAAGGTGAACAGTAAGATGAAAAGAAATACCATCTCAAGTGCTATTTCCAAAATAACTGCAGCTTGGTGATGGGATTCAGGCATGCAAGCTTGTGAAGGAAAGTATATAAAATATTTACTTATCCTTTTTTAGGATTTTCAAAGAACATTTATTTAATTCTTTAAGTGGTTATGTACAAGTACAACAGGGTGGCTGATGGGACCCACATGCCTTCCAGGACCCCTGCCATGAGATGTTGGTGGTAAAGATAAGCCCTGCCAGGGTGGACCCAACGGCACACATCCTGCTGTTGCCTGCTCCCCAGAAATCCAATAAAAACCTTTTAAATAATCAACAGCCTGGTTATAGTCTGAATGCTGGTTTATTTAGTAGCATCCAAGAGTTATAACATAAATAAACATCATTATGTTTAATGGTTTATTAAAATCACTATTCATCATAAATACCAACCTTGATAAATAATACTATTTTAACTATCCTTCCTCCTTCGGGCTGGGGTTCAGATTCTTTGAGGAATAAAATTTCTAGCATTGTTAACATTTTGCTTCACCTGAAACTAAGACTCCTTCTGTGGACAGAGTAAGAACCTGGACCCTTAGAAGCAGGATCTTCTCCACTGATCCTAAACTCTTTTCAGGGAGTTGACTCTCATCCAAATTTTATAAACCACTAGTGACTTCTTGCTTTAAGCTCCTTAGGGCCAGATTCCTCCAAACAGATTTCAGTCCTTCAAGAACTCATCATCATTACTCATGCCTCACACATACTAAATTACCCACCCCCTGGACCTTACCAAGATTAATGTATGAGCTTGCTTGCCTTTCCCTTTCATGTTTCTGTTTCCCCAGTTTACTGTAAAATAAGATCTGTCCTGACATTAAGAAAGAAGTTAACTGCTAAAATTTACTTTTCCCTTTAAGTAATATGAGGTTTTTCCCCTTCTCTACAAGCTTAGCAAAATATTTCACGTCTACCAACTTAAATTTTTCCCTTAAATAAAAGTGTCTGCAAAGTTACCATAAGAGACACTGCCCAAAAGATACTATTGAGTTAATTGTCAAGTTTTCCTTCCTTTCACTCCAGGAAGGTGGTACTCTTAGATGCACCAATAGCGTCTTTGTCCTTAGTGTGCTGTACATTGAGATTTAATGCTATAACTAGTACTCAAACAGTATTTTTCACTTTATATTTCTGTGTGGGAGCAAACTGTTGAAATCTTTACTTAATGTATGCTAAACTGATCTTCTGTATATAAAGAGCATCAAAAATGAATCTTGATGTGAATGGAAGGGGAGAGGGAGTGGGAAAGGGGAGGGTTGTGGGTAGGAGGGACGTTATGGGGGGGGAAGCCATTGTAATCCATAAGCTGTACTTTGGAAATTTATATTCATTAAATAAAAGTTAAAAAAAAGAAAAAGAAAAATAAATAAAGTGCGAAGTGGTAGACAAAGAAAGAAAGAAAGCAAGCAAGCAATGATAGCCAGTGCCACAGCTCGAGGCTCACTTGGTTAATCCTCCGACTGTGGCGTTGGCACTCTGGGTTATAGTCCCAGTTGGGGCGCCGGGTACTAGTCCCGGTTGCTCCTCTTCCAGTCCAGCTCTCTGCTGTGGCCTGGGAAGGCAGTGGAGGATGGTCCCAGTGCATGGGCCCTGCACCCACATGGGAGACTGGGAGGAAGTACCCGGCTCCTGGATTCAGCTGTAGAGGCCTTTAGGGGAGTGAACCAACTGAAGGAAGACCTTTCTCTCTGTCTCTCTCTCTCTGTCTATAACTCTCTCTCTCTCTCTCTGTCTCTCTCTCTCACTGTCTAACTCTGCCTGACAAAATTAAAAAAAAAAAAAATGAAAGCAATGATGTCAGTTACTAAGTCTTATAGAAAACAAGTTTCATCTTGAGAAATGGAGCGTAGCAAGACTCTTTCATGCTCTGGGTGTCATTTCAATGGCACTTGACTATGAGGCTTGGGGTAGGTTACAGAAATTATAATGAAAACATCTGAGGTTAATTTAAAAAATGAAAACAAATATCCTCATATCTAATTTAAACAAAGAAAAGCACTCAGCTCAGCACAAGCAGAGGTTAAACTGGCTCTATAGTAAGTTCAAGTTATACTCTTCAATGCACTGAAATGGAGAAAGAAAGGAGTTGCATCCAAATCAATTGAAATCTCTTTCTGCTATTCATCCAAAGTCTAAAGTGAAAACTTAATTCTAGTGTTTGATTTACTCCACAAACTACTATAACACATATCGTCCAGATAATGCAAGGATGGGCTGTATTTAGATTCACTAGATTCAAAACAAGCAAGAGCTTCTGCCACACACCTTAATGACAGAATAAAGAGCGTCGTTGGTGACTTAGAAGGAATACTCATCTTCTATGGAGGTGTTGAAGTAATCCTCCAGGATCAACTCTAAAGTTGGTTTAGGATCCCAGGTTTTCAATCAGGAAAGGTGGATCCAGGAGTCCAATCCAGAAACTTTTACCACAATGGGAACAGAAAAATCCATGGCAGATTGTCGCTCCCAACCCTCTCCAAAGAGGAAGAGTGAGTTGGAAGGGCCTTGATTAACACCGAATCTCCTGGTCTGTATGTAAGGCTTCCTATCCCCTGGATTCTGTCTCTGGGACTCCTTTATGACCTGTTGGAATTCGACAAGTGCTATGATGGATGTGATCAGCATGAGGTCTAATTGTCTTCTAGGAAGGAATGAGCAAGGACATGATCATATAGCACTTCAAGAAGACTCAACTCTATCTTTCATGGAGTTTTTATGACAGACACTAAGGCTATAGGAAGTAGGGTTCCATGGAAGTTGAGTTTCTTGAGATAGCTTCTTGAGGTGTCTGTTGAGGATGCCATTAGTCTTTTTTACTTTTTCTGATGACTGAGGCCTTACAACACAATGGAGATGATATTGTATCCTTATCACCTTAGAGACTTCTTTATTGACAGCTTCAAGAACGAGGGTCCTTTGTTACCTTGGAGTCTCTTAAGAAACACAAACTGAGGCCAGCATTGTGGTGTAGCAAGTTTAGCCACCATCGGTGACACTGGAATCCATTATGGGCAGTGATTCTGGTTTTTGCTGTTCCACTTATGATCCACCTCCCTGATAATGGCCTGGGAAAGCAGCAGAGGATTGCCTAAGTACTTGGGCCACTTCATCCTTTTGGGAGACCCAGTTGAAGGTCCTGGCTCCTGGCTTTGGCCTGGTCTAGCCCTGGGTAATGAACCATTTGGGGAGTAAACCAGTAGATGGAAGGTCTCTCTCTCTCTCTCTCTCTCTCTCTATATATATATATATATATCTTCCTTTCTCTCTGTAATTCTGCATTTCAAATCAATCAATCAATCTTAAAAAAAAGGTCCAAACTGAGGGACTCTTTCAGAGAGCAAAATCTTTAATACATCAGTAGCCTTATCAGTTCTACAAGGGAAGGTTTCCATCCAATTATGAACACATCAAGATGTATTGGGTGTTTCTTGTTTTAGGCATGTGAGTAAAATCTAGCTACCAGTCTTTTCTTTGTCCTCCAGGAAGAAGAAGTCTTTGATTTAAAGGATTATTTCTTTTTTTTTCTTTTTTTTTTTTTTTTTTTTTTTTTACAGGCAGAGTGGACAGTGAGAGAGAGAGACAGAGAGAAAGGTCTTCCTTTGCCGTTGGTTCACCCTCCAATGGCCGCCGCAGCCGGCGCGCTGTGGCCGGCGCACCGCGCTGATCCGATGGCAGGAGCCAGGAGCTAGGTGCTTTTCCTGGTCTCCCATGGGGTGCAGGGCCCAAGCACTTGGGCCATCCTCCACTGTACTCCCTGGCCACAGCAGAGAGCTAGCCTGGAAGAGGGGCAACCAGGACAGAATCCGGCACCCTGACCGGGACTAGAACCCGGTGTGCCGGCGCCGCAAGGCGGAGGATTAGCCTAGTGAGCCACGGCGCCGGCCCTTAAAGGATTATTTCTAAGACAAAGCTCACAACTCACCCCAACCCCAAACCTATTTTATAATTCTGAAGAAGTTGTTTCCTTTAATAGCTCATAGACCTCTGATAATTCTTATCTCTCCCCACATGGAAAGCTTTATGGAACATTTTAAGTGCCTTCCACTGGCAGGAGGAAGGAAGATGGCTCCTTTCTTCTTCCAACTGAATCCATCCACTGGGCTGGAGACATATCCTCTAGAAAGTGCCCAGTAGGTCTCTTTAGAGGAGGATTGTAGCCTAATCTCTTGTAGGGTGTTCTAGAGACCCTAAATCAAATGGGCCTCTAATTTTTCAAGTGCAAGTATTTCATTGACTATTAATATGGCTGCCAAATCTGGTAATTTGTTCCATCAGCTCTTTGATCAGCTGCCTTTGCTGTCCCTTACAGTATATAAGTGTCACTTCCGGGGGTGTGGGGGGGTGGAGGAACACTGAAGATAACATTCTATTCTCTAATGGTATTTGTGGTAAGGAAGTGTGTTTCTTTCCAAATAGCCACATGTGCATGGAGAACTAGGTAGATATACTCAGAGTCATGTTCAGTATTTACCCTTTTATCCTTATTCAGTGCAGGAACTCTTGCCAGAGTTACCAGCTTTGCCAATTCAACACTCATGCCAGAAGTAAGTTAAGAGCGCTTGATGGCCTAAAGTGTTCCTATAAAGGGTTCCTCTAAAATGTTCTCCTTAAGGTCCTCTCTGGTTGCATATGTCTATAAAAATACCTGTTTAATGTCATGTTCTAGGCATTCCATCTCCTCTTGGAGAAAAGTGGTATGATTAAGAGAGGAGAAATTCTTGAGGTGGATTGTAGGGCCCTCCAGTGGTATGCTTGCAGATTATCTGTTAACTGGTGGCTTCATTTTGAGGCTAGTAACCCTGTCACATTGTGGGAGGTGTACAATATTAGTTCTCATCCCAGGGTAATTTTGGTGGCTTCAGAGATCAAGAGGACAATTTCTGCCATTGGTAGGATGTCCTTCCTTTTGTCACTGGGTCAAATTCTTTGCTAAGATACCCTAAAGGCTATTGAACTGGTCCTTTAAGCTGAGTCAACACACCTTAAGCCATCACTTTCCTTCTGGTTATATATAGATTGAAGATTGATTCCTTGAATAAAAACTCGTTAGAACTGAATAAAACCTATTGAGTCTCTGTGTCCCATATCAAACTATGTGTCCCTGCTGCCTGTGAATCTTTCATCTGTTGGTACAAAAGACCAGCAATTTCACCGTAGAAGGTGATCCAGAGTTGACAGGATCCTATGATTTCCAGGAAGACCCTAAGATGTTTAAGGGTTTTAGAAAGCTAAAGGTTTGATTTGATTCTCTCTTATTCCAGTGCCCAAGTTCCTTCAGATAAGACTAAATACTTGACAGAGGTCTGGCAGAGTTGGGTCTCTGACTTTGAGATCAGGTAGTCCCTTCCTACCAGAAAATTGAGAAGGACCTTACTGCTCCCTTATGAAACCTGCTAGAGTACAGAGGAAGATTTCATCTATATACAGCAGGACAGTGGCATGTGGATGGGAACAGTATGGCAGATCTTTGGACAAGGCTTGTTTAAACAAGTGGGAATGCTCCAGAATCCTTGTAGCAACACAGTTCAGGATAACTAGAGGAATGAGTTCAGGCTTCCTCAAGAGCAAACAAATATTATAATTCAAAATGTAAGGATATACAGGAAAAGGCAAAATTTAAACATAAAACTAAATCATTTGGTCTCTTGAAGAGTTTTGGAAAGTAAAGAATAAGGGGTAGGGACCACTGGCTGAATGTAGATCACAATCTCATAAATGAGACAGAAATCCTTTATCACCCACCATTCTCTATTACATTTTTAGACCTCCAGCATTGGAGTGTAACATGGACATTGTCTTAAAATCTTTGTGACTTTCAGTTCCTTTTTGTTTTTAACCCTTCTTGGGTTTCTGACTTTAAGGGATTTTGTTTTTGTTGGGAAAAAGATTAGGGATTTTCAAGATGAACTCACACTGGTTAGTCTGTTACTTCTCTCTTACTTCTTGGCCAATATTTCCCTGGGTAACCCGAATCTCTTGATTAATGTCTATCCCCATTATAGAAGGCATAAGGATCTTCTTTTCCCTGGAACCCTGAGAATGGTAGTTCCCACCCAGGCTAAGAAGTCTAAGAGGTGTTAGGCTGTCTGGCCTGATCAGGAAGGCATGTGTGAAACACATTATCCCAGTCAAAGCTTAGGAGCTGGGTAAAATAACAAATTAAGCACTTTCCTGAGATGTCTCACATAGTAACCCTAAGAGAAAAGAGAAGATGTAGATGTGAGACAAGGGCAGAAAATGTGGCTCCAGTATGTATCAGTAAGAAAACTTCTTCCCTTTGATGGGTAGGACCACTGTCCTGCATGCTGATGTCTGTGGGTTAGAGCCTGTAGAAGAAGCTCCAGTGCCATTTAGTCATGTTGAGTCATCTTAAGAAGAGATCCTGATCCCAGAGGCCTTGGTCTCTGGGCAGTGAACCATTTAATGATCCTCCTTCCAAATAGGAGAAGGGATTTTTTGACTATGCATGTATGGACATTTCATTTTGAAACGACCATAACATAGCACCTTAGAGACCTCTGAGATCTCTCAGGTTGGTACGATCATAAGGCCTGTACTATAACTGTTGCCTTTCCCATATCCCTTCTCTCTCATTGATGTGTCCCCTCCCACTCCTGATTGTAATAAACAAAACTGGAAACCTTCCGGAGGTTTCCTTATGTATTCTCAAATCCAATCACCTGTTTTTGAAATTTTCTTCTATTATCTGAATCTTCAAGAATGCTTGTCCTATCCATTCAGAAGATAGGGAAGTATGTTTGACTGGTATTAAGAAGTGGATGAGGTATTTATTTTGTTCTTTCCATCTATTCTGCAATCTGGAAGCACCCAGATGGCACTATTGATGGAGAAATATGCCTCCTTCAGACACCAAACCTACTGATGATCTTATCTTGGATTCCTCAGCTTCAAAATCATGAGAAATAAATTTCTGTGCTTGATTAATTACTCAGACTATGGTATTTTGTTATGGTAGGAAAGACAGATTATAGTTCCTTCTTATGTATTTTTTAACTTGGAAAATCATGATAATTTGGCCAAAGCTCTAAATATTCAGAAGCAACATTATTCTGATGGCTGCCTTGAGTTTGCTCTGTACTATGGTAACCACCTTACCTTTGGAGATTGAATGCAACCACTTAATGCTTGCCCTGTTATTCTGGGATTCAAATATTTCCATTAAATTTATTTCCCCAATTCAATGACTGTGGTTTCCACGGTGAGGTGTGCCCTACAAGAATGGTGGTGACAGAGTTATCAGGAATTCTGAGGCTCCCCTCACAAATTTCTCACACTATTGTAAGAGTTATATCGTCTGGACCCTTCCCACGTCATTGAGTAGATACTGATTGAGAAGTCCACTCTAATGTTTCAGTATCTCTAAATGATTTCCTGTGCATTAACTAAGGCATAACCAATATTTCTAACTTGCTAATTTAGCCATATTTTGGTCCATGTTTAGCCAAGCAATCAACAAACCAAAAATGTTAAATCTCTTTCTATTATCTGAAGGCACAGAATCTATGCTTAGTGAGTCCCTATCAACACATTTTTGACTTATCTAACTTGATTCTTCTTCCACCAGGATCTTCTATAATACCCTTTCCCACACAAGTCTTCCACTTTGTTTGCATACATTAGCAAATTCTAGCAGTTCTTCTAGTGTATGATGGATCCCTACATGTTGCACTTTACC